GTGAGTGGAATTCACTGTGGTAAATATATCGCTATCGTAATTACTGTGATTTAATTTAATTTTATATTTAGATTTTTGTTGTTGTTGCTGTTTTCATGTTTGAAATTAAATTAAATAAATCATCTTAAATAGAAAAATAACTAGACATATTTAAAACGAACTAGACAATAACTAGACATATTTAAAACTAATTAAGTCAGGTTAAACGTAAAACAATAAAATAGTGAATAAATACATAATTTTAAATGCACATTTAAAATTGTCACCCCTATTCCGCCACAACAAAACATGTTGGAATATTTAGTAATGTTGTTTTAATACTATGATTAGACATAATTAATAATGATAAATGCAGTGTGCTTATTTTTCTTCTGCGCATAAGCATAATTGACCGTAGCTGAATAATACGTTATATTTATAAATAGTATTCATTGTTTTCTTCTTCGTCTTCTACTTTTTAATTGTTTAAAAAGTGGTCGACCTCAACGAGGGCCATTTCTCAGTATGCGTTCTTGTCTTTACTTGCGTTCTTGTGGACTTGTGAAACGTCATCAGTCGTTGCCCAAGTACTGTTCCAAAGTTCACATCTAGCCAAATCCCCAGATGTGTTCTTGCTCCACCCCTTTTATCGAGGATGCATCAAGAGGTGACTTGTGCTGGTGCGAGCTTGAGGCAGCATTAATCCTACAATGCATTTCGCACCAACCAGCGAGTGTTAATGGCGGAGGAGAAAAGGCACATACTTTTCAAAATATTATTGATATTGTGTCATGAAATGTACTTTTAAGAGTTTTTCAGGCGAGAATGTAGTTGTTTATAACTCAAATCTGCGGTTTATTTGTAAAGATAGTGCCTACTTGAAAATTTGCTTCGCAGATTTCGGAGATGTGAGCTCCAGGCGATCACCGCACGCTCATTGCTCATGTTTCCCGCTGAGAGCAGCCTACCTCGGCTAGTCTTTCTGACATTTGCCACTAGCGCGGATGTCTCTGTAGTGGTTAAACATGATATATAATTCCTTTTGGGGTATATCTAACAGGCAATCTTTGGTCTCATAAATGTATTATTTGTTCCTGGTCATATAGGTTTGGCTGAGCACAAAGTTTAGTTTCATAACTTTATATAGCCTAATTATCAGTGATGTAATGTAACGAAGTAATAATACTTCGTTACAGTACTTAAGTATTTTTTGCGAGTATCTGTACTTTACTTGAGTTTTTATATTTCAGCCAACTATGTCCACATTCTATTGATTTGTGCTTACTGGAGAAAGTGCAATACCTGAAATGCAAAAGTAAATTTCTCAAATGACAACAATCATTAAGATTATAATTTTGAGCTAAAATAATTTTGATCAGTTAAACCATTATACAGCATGACGAAAATTTGACTAAAACCCAGTGGTGTAATGTAACGAAGTAATAATACTTTGTTACAGTACTTAAGTAGTTTTTGGGAGTATCTGTACTTGCATATTTCAGCCAACTTTTACTGTTACTCCACTACATTTCCTAATAAAAATGTATACTTTTGCAAACAAGTGCGTGCACAACCGCGGATGATTCATTTTCCACTCAAATTGAGTCTGGGGTGTGCGATACTTTATTATCTGCGATAATATGGTAAGTGTTGTTGTAATGATGTGCGATCTGACATTATCATCAGATCACACTCATAGTGCACACGCACGTTGATTTATTAGTCTATTAAAACTCAAAATTCAAGGCATTCTAAATTCTGTGTATGAATGTTTTGTGTATATATATATATATATATATATATATATATATATATATATACATACTTCTTTTCCATTTTGCACTTACTTGTACTTTGACTTTCAATACTTAAGTAGGCTACATTTAAGATTAAAAAAATACTTTTCGTACTGAAGTACAATAAATATGACATATTTTAAGACTTTTACTCAAGTAATATTCTAAACGGTGACTTCAACTTCTACCAAAGTCATTTTCTGGTAAGATATCTGTACTTTCACTTGAGTATGGCTTTCAGGTAGGCTACTTTATACACCACTGCTATTTATCTTACCGTCGTACAGCGCTGATGTAACGTTAGCATACATTTGACTGAATTGATTGCTTTTGTCTTTATTTCCTATTATATAAGCCTCTTATATTTCATATTATATATGTTTAATGGCTATTATTGTTCATTAAAGCTGACATTTACCAAAAAGGCAGCGTAGTGTTTTATGTCATACATTTATACAGTGAAGATAATCAGAGTATATATATATATGCACAGAATTGCCTGAACCACATATTAATGTTTTATGTATTTGTGTGTGTGTGTGTGTGTGTGTGTGTGTTTTA